TTCAAGGTCTTTGTTGTATTTCTCAGGCGAGCGGCCTCCCTCCAATATGGCGCCATCTGTGCTGAAGTCTCCGTCGAAGACGCTGGTGATTGGAGGGTCTGGTTCTGAAATGATTCCACCGGCTGTGGCCTCGGTACGTATGCATGGTACACACACAAAGGTGCCGTTACATATTAAATAAAATAAATTCATGTGGACCGATGCCCGTCTTTGCTGTTAAAGGTTGCATCACAGTAAGAGGATTCTTCACCCTAATTTATCCTGTAATCATCACATTCTCACCTCATAGATTTATTTTTTCTCTCCAAGGCGCTCATGAACCACCTTTGGTTTGGAAAGAGTCTTAAGGAGGCAATTGATACTCTGGTTGTTCTTGTAGACTCTCAAAGTGAAGTAAAACTTGAATCCAAGCTTGAAAAGGTAATTTATTCAGTGTATTTAAATGATAAATTAATAATTTCTACAGGTTTTGTTCCATCTGAGTCTCTCTCCTCTTTGCCCTGCAGGATGTAGTTGATGGTCTTGAAGCTCTGGGACACAAAGTAGCAAAATTCTACAACACAGTTAACGCTGTGGAAAAAGCGGGCAACTGTATCTCTGCATGGTCTGATAAAAGGAAAAAAGGCAAAGCTGCTGGTTACTGAGACCAAGAGTCAGTGATGTCAGTTATACAGCATGGCTTTAAGGTTATGATAGCAGAGCTGGACATGGCATATTATGTTTAAGTGGAAGCTAGCGAGCTAACTTCCTGCTAACTTCTAACTCTGTTGAATTTAATAAATTCTGTTTTCATGGATGCCTGGAAGTTAAACTTAATTATTACACCTGGTAGAGCAGAACACTGATCATCTTATTAAAGATGAAAGAATTTAGACAGTTTGTAACTCTCAGTGATGCCACAGTGATCGTTTGACTGTGGGACCCAGAAACGGTTAATGACGTCAAACTTAAAGACCTCATAACTATTTCAAACTATTTACAGAACACCAATAGGAAAGGATGGTTTTGTTTCTTGTTTTTTATAATTTTTGTGCTTTTGAGTGTTTGCCTTAGAAAATGCAGTTTTTACTGTTTCTTCCCTCAGTAAACATAAACAACGATTCAGGAAAAAACATTA